TGGTCTCTATTTGTAGAGAATGAAAAATTATAAATTTTGGTATTTTTATTTTTATTTTTTAATACAAAATATGAATGATAATTTAATTTATATAATATGATATATGAATTTTATTACCTAATAGAAATGGGACACATGTCCCTTTTAAAAAAATGTTTTACCTCCTTTACCTTGAAAAATCTCGTTCTCTCTCCTCTCTCTGCGCGTGGGCTAGAAGAACTTGAACAACAATTTCAATTTAAAGCCACTCTCTTTTTTTTTATGTGTGCTCACTCTCTGCCCTGGCACACCTAGCAAGGTGTGCTAGGGCACACCTAATTATTTGCGGGATTTTTAGGCCGGTTGATGTGAAATTGAGCTTTATCCAAAATTGATGTTTTTTTTAGCCAGTCACGGTATTCGAAGCTATGCTTCGAGCCTCCGACTAATTTATTGGTCAACGTGAGACGCACACTTGTCAGTAGTGGGTCAGTCTTCCAACAAGAGTTTTTTACATCTACAAGAAATCGAACTCGAGACCTTATTTAAAAAACATCATGCTACTTACCGTTTGAACCAGCACCTATTGGTGATGTTTATCTTATTAGGTGAAGGTGACTAGTCTGCACCCAGTACCTAACACTATTTAATTTATTACAAAAATAATAAATGCCAAAGAAAATAGCAAACTAGAACAAAACACGCATTTAATGAGGCTCATCGACTCACACGTGCCAATCGTCCAGCCAACCGTCAACATGTCTCGCGTCATTAGACTATATTTATCTCTAATCCAACTCAATCCAACTCAATCAAATAATAAAAAATTATTTCTCTCTCATTCACCTACACAATCCAACTTTTAACAACTTACATATCTTTATCCATAACTCAACCCAACCCAACATACTATTTATTTTATTTTTATTTATTAAATATTATTCACAATAGATTTTTTTGTTGTTGTTTTAGTTGAGATAAATTAATTAAAAAATCTATAATTAAAAATAAGGTATGATTAAGAAAAGAGTGAAAAAAGAGAAATTTCAGTTGTGAACTAAAAAATATCAAGAGTGGTCTCTATTTATAGAGAATGAAAAATACGAATTTTGATATTTTTTATTTTTATTTTTAATATTTAATAAACTCAATAATTGCTAAATCTTATCTTATCAAATTACAATTAATGTGGCCAATAAGACCCACTCCTTATATAATCTTATAAATATTGGAATTAAAAAATTTTTTAAAAAAAAGGAACAAGTGTTTGGCGACCCAAGGGCACAATGTGACCTGGGTCGCCCATTGCTCGCTAGTTTCTTTTTTTTTTTATTCTTTTTTTTTTTTATTTTTGTTTTGTAGTGGGTGACCCAAAGGTTGGGTCACCGATAAGAATAGCCTTAGTCCAGCCAACCGGCCCAAGTGCAGTGATTTATTATTATTATTATTATTATTATTATTATTATTATTATTATTATTATTATTATTATTTAACTATTTTAAAATGCAAAACATGAATTTTCACCATATTTTATAAAAAGATATTGTTTTAACAATTTTGCAACTTAAAAAGACAACCAAATCTTGATGTACTCTAAGCTGAACAAGAATCTACCTTTTAATTCTTGTTGTAATGTTCTAGCTAGTGACATGTATATGTTATTGTACTGTTTTTCTTCCTATGTTTTTTTGGTTGGCTCTTGAAGCTTGTTTAGTTTTTTCTTTGCTCTTGTCTTTGAAAGATGTATTATTTTAGCATAAGTTTAAAAATCAATATGGTTGAAGACATGTTCGTACAAGCAGGGACGAAACTAGAAAATTAGATGAGAGGTGGCAAAAGACATGACATATTGGGTTCAGAACCAACAGAAATTCTATGTAGCCATCGGTTGACACCCTTATGGAGCCATCCATAAATTTATGTATTGACACGTGTCCAAAGTGTATTTATTGAAGGACACGTGTCAATACACCATTTGCGGATAATTTTGGATGACTCCATAACGTTTCGGTGATCGATTCTCAGTAACCTTTATTTAAGTCGGTTCGTTCTGTTTATTTTCTCATCACTTAGGTTCAGTTATCGGTTTTCAGGGCAATAAAAGAGAGTTAAAGTCTTTTTATATGACCCAATTAAAATTGTAGAATGATAATAATTAATATACAAAATTGATAATAAAATAAAAGAAGTGTTGAATTGTTAGTTGACAATTGTGGACAAGTTGATCTGGTAGTAACGTTTAAAAATAAAAAATTGGGGGTGCAAAAATAAATTTAAAGGGGGACAAATTAAAATTTTTAATATTAATAGAATAAGAAATTAAAATTAAGGCGGGGCAATTGCCCCCTACCAATGAATGTAAATTCGCCCCTGCGTACAAGCAGTAAGAATCTCGAAAAAAAAAAGGAAGTTCTTCATGTTATATTTATTTCCTAATTCATTTTATATTGAATATGAGTTTGCATGATCTTATTATGGTATTACTATGTAGGAAATTCGTATGCATGGCTGTTGGAGAGAGAAACATACATGGATCATGAAGAAGATCTAGGAGATCAAGGAAGATCAACTTTTCTTGTTTACACACTATCTATGGAAGAAAATCAAAGAAGATCATTGAAGGAAGGAAACAACTTGGAGAAGACTCCATGCCTAAGGGATTGTATAAATACCCTACTTGAAGATCGAGTAGAGGTTGCTGACACTCTCGTTCATGAAAGCAATATTCGAGCTTAAAGATATTTGTTATTTTAATTTTTGTTCACAGTTCAGTTTAAGGGTTCTTACGCATCTAAGAACTGAAGTTGTTTTGTTTTATTTTCTCTTTGTTTTATTCAAACTATTTCATACTTAACAATTAGGGATTAAGTGTTGTTTAGAAAGTCCACGGGACGTGGCGGGAGAAGTAATTGATAGGATTGTGTGTAGTTGTGGCTAGACTAGAAGGGAGTTTGAGTCGTGTAAGTCCAAACTATGCAAGTGTTCTACGGTTTATCAATGAAAGAGCTCTGAGGGAAGTGGGACGCTTCCATTTCAGTTTATTGCTTCCGCTATTATCGTTCCTTATTTACATTCTTACATAGTTGAGCGCACTCATTGTTCAAAACATACGTTTCAATTGGCACCATAGCAGTGTTCTACTTACGGAATAAAGATCGTTGGGACTGTGTGCTCGTCACTATGAATCACGATGGAATGTCTGTTTCGCGCCCTCCGTTTCTTGATGGTTCGAATTATGGATAGTGGAAATATATGAAGGTTATCTTTCTTCTTTCGCTAGGGAAATGAACCTGACAGATCATCGAATCAGGATGGTCCACACCACTCATGGAAAAAGGTCCCTCAGAATCCAAGGTTGGTGAGTCCTCAGAGTCAAAATCCTCAACCTCGACCACCCATGTTCTAGTCGAGAAACCAAGGGACTTGTGGACCGATGCAGATAGATTAGCTGAAGAAGCAAACTTTCGGGCACTATATGCAATCATGTATGCTGTGGATCCTACTTGTCATAAGATGATTATTTAGTGCACAACCGCTCAAGATGCGTAGAAGATTCTTGAAAAATAACTCGAAGGTACAAACGCTGTGAAAACCTCAAAGCTCCAACAATCTCTACCGAACTTGATGAGATCCGCATGAGAGATGATGAAACCATAGACATGTATTATGCTCACTTCTGTGACATTGTGAACCAAAGCGCAATGCTTAGTGAACATGTATCAGAGGCAAGACAAGTGCAAAAATTAATGAGAACATTGTCGGATAGATTTGGAATTAAGATCACGACATTGGAGAGTTTTCCAAGAATTCAAACGCTTGGCATTGATGATCTTCTCAGTGACCTTCGTACCTTTGAAATAAATCATGGATTCGACTCGATGAAGGTAAGAAAAGGAAAAAGACTTATCTTTAAAAGCCAAGGTTCGTACAGTGATTTTAGAAGATAAAGATTCAGATGAAGAGTCATTTGATGCCGATGAAATTATGAAGGCTCTCACAGTTCTTACCAAGATGTCTCAAAGATGAAGAAAATTCAGAAGAAAATATTTCAAGGGAACAAGCCTTTTTGAAGGTGGTAAGAACATGATCCAACAATTTGGTGAACGACGATCTGGTGTGCAGCTGAACAAGTTCCAGAATGCGAATCAAAAAGTTGAAAAAGATCAGTGTCGTGAATACAAAGGATTCGACCATTTTTAGAAGGAATGTCCAAACTTCAAGAAGAAGAACAAAACGTACAAGGCTACGTGATCTGACTGCAGTGATGATGAGGACGGAGAATCTGAGAAAACCGAAAACTCTCACTATTCTAATAATCTTGCTAAATGTCCTCTTAATGAGTATAACTTCTTACTGATGTTGAATGTAATGCAGGTTCTTACGCTAAAAACTTAAGCGATGCTGAATCTGAAGAGTTCTCTGACCCTACTAAAGAAAACCTAGTACTTCACAAATATGCCATAGAAAAGTGTCTCAAAGCTGCCGAAATGATCAAGAAGTATCAAACCCAAAAAGAAAAGATGAAGCAGTTGGAACATCGGTCAACAGAACGTGAAAAGAAGATAGTTTATCTCAAAGCTAAACTCCAGAAGATGCGAGTTATGACCGTTGATTTCAATGAGAAACTCATCAAATCTGATCTTCTCACTGGAAAACAAGACAAGGATCTCAATAGCTGTTTTGCCAAAATTGCTTTGTTGGAACATTGCGACAAACTTAACAAACATGCAAGTGATGAACAAAATTTTAATATTGAATCCTTGCGCAATGAATTGTTTGCTATGCAGAGTCTTGTAGGTAAAAGGGAAACCGAGATTGTAGTTCTCAAAGAAGAACTATGACGTGTAATTGAAGAACACATGGCACTTCGGAGACATTGTTTAACCTTGGAAGAGAAAATCCACAAGAGTGAGGAGATTTTCAA